TCTGCGAGCAGTTTCCATGTCCTATAAAACAAGAACAAAGATGAAGATTCGAAACCCTTGAAATGGTTAGTCAATGCTCATGATGTTTGTATGATGTAATGATGTGATGATTAAATACACTATAAACATTCACAGAGGCAAAACATGGCAAGGCACACAAGTCACACAAACCCTTAGAGTTTAGGCCTGCATGGGGTCTGGGTATTACCCTCTTGAAGTTTGGTGGGTTCAACCTGTCCTATCAAAAGTAACCGGGTTTTAAAGGTCCCAATATCACTGGATTGCTTTCATTGTTCATCGTTTCGATTTAGCCACTGAACTGGCGACCGAAATATTCCAGGAAAGCAAACCTCAATTGAGTGTAGTATCGAGTATCAACCAACCTCGGACTGCACCAAAGTCAGTTATCTCACTACCCCTAAAAGGCCAAGATGGTTCAATTAAGGTTCCTAAGGTCAGTTGATGCTTCATGACACCACGCGGCGGCCCCGTACTCTCCTTGACTGAACTCAAGGGTTACCGGTACACACCAAAGTGCCACATCAACGTAGCAGACTGTTTCAACCATGTCGGTATACCCCGCACAGTTCCCTCACAGCCTTGTTGCTACCTAAAAGGGTTTCCCCAGATCCGGGTTAGGATCTATAAAACTCCGATACAAAGCCCACAAGATGTAAAAGCAAACAAAGCAAGCAATTGAAGACAAAGATGATCTAAACCCTAAGGTTACTCCACTTTAAAAGTTTTCCCCAGCAGAGTCGCCAGTTCTGTGATACGGTGAGAGAACTGACTTGAGGTTTTGCGTTTGTATTCGCAAATGTTACGGTTAGCAAGAGTCGCCACCGACTTTTTATTTTATCCTAAGGAAAGGTTAAAAAGCACAGCAAAAACCTTTTGAGATGTTTTCTTGGGTTCGGGGAGTAGATTATAGAAAGGGAAGGTATTAGCACCCTTTCTATCCATGGTTATCCATGGGCTCTTAGTTACTTGCTTAGATCACTTGCCTTTTGTTTTCAATTGTTTTAAATGGTGCTTGAGTGTGTGGGTTTTGAAAATGTTTTTTTGAAAAGAGGCCAATGTGGTGGCAATCTTTGTAATGATCCATGTGGGGATGTATACAAAGATGTATGTCTTTTGAAAAAAGTTTTCATTTGTTTTTGAAAGTTGTTTTGAAAGTGTTGTGAGGTGTGATTTTGAAATCATGCAAGTGTTTTGTTTTGCAAGTTGATTCAAGTAACTAAGAGGTTATCTACTCCTAAATTTCTCAAAAGATCATTGCTATACTTTTAACCCTTTTGACAAGTTTGCTCCACCATTGTATTTGGTGGGCAACCTTGTGTTAGGATGTGAAAGGGACAGGCGCGGGTCATCGTTTTAGACCATAATTGCAACGGCGTTAAATGTCTTTGAGCAATTTCTCTAAGGGACTTGATCATTTGTTTTTGTTTGTTTTGAAAAGTTTTTGTCGAGGGACTATGATCATTCAATTTTTTTTTTACTTTGCCCAAAGAAGTTCAACATGCAATATGGCCCATTTATTTGAAGGCAACAAGTGGAATACCCTAGGGGGTGCAAGTGTGATTTGTGTGTCCATTTTCATGCTTGTTTATCTTGTATTAGGTCAAACTATTTTTTATCGTTTTTTCGCATACAAACCCTAATTCTAACATGTTATCATTAGAAAGCAATAAAGTGCGAAATTAAAATTACTAAGCTATTACAAAACCAAATATGGGAAGGGGGGTACAAATGTTCAAATGGGGGATATTGACAAGAATTTAAATCTAAATTATTACAACATTTGAATATTTGCAATTTAAATAATGCATAATTAAATGTAAATTAAATAAATATGTGAAATGCAAAAAGAAAATTTTTATATGTATGAGAAAATATTATTTATGTAAAAGGGAAAAGAAAATAAAAAATGTATTATTTTTTGAGTATTTTGAACTTAGGGTAAAAACCCTAATTTGAAAGAAAATGTATTATTATCTATTTATTATTCATAAAAATAAAATAAAATGAAGTATATTAAAAAAAAGGTATTTTTATATCAAATATTAATAAAAGTGAAAAATCAAGTATTTTCATATTTTTGTCTTAAATATATTAATAATTACATATATATATGTATTAAACCCTAAATATGTATTATATACAAAATAAACATTTATTTAATATTTTAATAAATAAAATAAAAAAAGGTATTTTTTGTGTGAAATATTTTCAGAAAGTAAATGAAAATAAAAAGTGCATTTACATTATTTTTACATTTTTATTCTAATAATCATATATATGCATTTATGTACAAATAAAGAAAATAATCAAATAAATATGCAATAAATGCCAAAAATGATAAAAAAAATATTTTTAATTTTCTAATGTCATGAGAAAAAATAAACAAAGTCAGCCAAAAAAGAAAAAGTCAAAAATGTTAAAAAATGAGCAAATGGGCTCAGGGGGGTGTAAACCAAAAAAGATGGTGTGAAAAGCAAAATAGCACAGGCCCAGCCCACTCCACTCCTTCTTCAACCTCCAGCACAGATATTTGAAAAAACGCGCGCCATGTTCAGTTCCTTCTAACTCTTGATTCCTGGCTTTTTAGCAAAAACTCATAACACAAGAAATGTTCAGCATGAAGAGACGGTTCTAACCATATAAAGAACTTGACCTATCTCTCTAAGATGAGGGAGAATTTCTCTCCCCCTCTTTTCTGACCTAATTTTTCTACCATTTTCAAGCTCCAAATTCTCTCTACTCAGACAAAAGAAATGAAAAGTAAAGCTATGTACATGTTCAGGGCTATGAGTAGGACCTTGTTTCTTCACAAACTTAAGACTAAAGATGCATAATAAGAGAGATACGAATTCAAACTTTTACCTGTGCAGTTGAACTTCTATGTGGAGAATGAGAGACTTTCAGTGCAATGTAATGATTGGAAAAGCTTCCTTGAGGTCCAGGGATGCTTTTTCAATGCTTACTTTGTCTTGAACCTTCTTGTATCAAGCTATAGAACTTCACCTGCAAGTCAAAGATGTGAAAATGGTGGAAGTGGTTAGAGCAACTACAGATCGTGCCTTAGCTTCTGGATAGCTTGCATATGTTATAATGAAGGTATAGGAACAGGTTTTGATCAAAATGCTCGAAGGGATTGAGAGATAGCACTCAATCTGCAGGGCCTGCTCTGTTTGAGCAGTTTTGTGGTGTTTCTGAGATGGAGAGTGTTTGAAAGGCAAAAGGCTCGTGCAAAAGCTTGGTTGGGTGATCTTGAATGTGTTTGATATCTTTTGTGTTGTGTTTGTAAGCTGAGATGAGAGATAGCATATGTTATGGACCTTTCTTCACACTTAAGCTACAAAAGCAAGTTGGTGGTTTTAGGTTAGTAGGGAGCCTCCTAATGTGCTGCATAAGCCTCTCTTGATCAGTGTGTTATGCACATAATCTTGTGCAAAGCAGATCTTTCATGTACTTGTTTGATTTTACCAATTGACATAAAGCAAACTTTTGTAAAAATGGAAAGTTCACTTTATCCAAAAATGGATCAATCTTGTGTATAATGCTTGAATTCATGGAACAACACTTAGACACAATGAACAAGCATTAAATTAAGGAGTGTAATGTGGTTTAAGGACCTGCAAAGTAGCACAAACTATGCTGAGTTCAAATTTGCCAAGTTTATGAACATGCTTTGATGAAGAACAAAAGTGAATTTTTGCCAACTTGTGAAATTCGAATCTCTCAAGTTATGAGGTTGTTTGATGAGTTCTTGGACATTTTGGAAAGCTTGGAATGTGTACTACAATCCATCTTTGAAATGAAAATCAAAATTCCAAGTGGAAGGGTATGAAAAGTGGCCTTGAAGTAGGGTAGAAAACCTTGTCAAAATAGGTCAAATTTCACTAAGTTAAAAGATGGTTTAGTGCCCTTATTCAAAAAATCATAACTTGAGATACAAGCTTCAAATGAGAAAACTTTGTGAATCAAAGTTGTAGATTATGCAACAAGCTACAACTTTCATGTTTTGACTTTTGTTTGAATCCCAATGGATCATGGTGAAAAGATGGGGCAAAGTTGGGAAAAAATTAGGGTTTTCCATAACTTAGAAAAATTCTAAGTTATGAAAAATTCCATTTTCTAACCCTAATTTGCATTTTGAGATTTCTTGGTGAACAAGTTTCATGATTTGGAATGTTTTGATGAAAAATGAATCTTGACTCTTGATTTTGACCAAAAAGTCAAAGTTTGACTTTTCAGTATACAGTCAAAATTGATCAATTGACTGGGAAATTCAACTGTCAACCTTGTGTACTTGGGATCTTTTGAGCTTGATGAATATGTCAAGATAATTCCATGGGGTCCTTGAGGCCATGTGAGCTTGGTTTGCCATTGGCTAGGTCAAACAGTCAAAAATTGCCTTTGTGCAGTCAAAACCCTAAAAATGACCATTTTGCCCTTTTGATGATCTGATCAAATTTCATGGAGAATTGTGATCCAAACTTGATCAAATGGTCCATGTGAGTTTATAATGTTGATGTGGATCAAATTTCATGAAGTTTGACTGTCAATTGGCCACAGTTGACTTTTTCCCCAATACAGCTGATTTCTAGGTCAACTGGCCAATTGACTGGGTAAAACTTGGAATCAAGACTTGAAACTTGGCATGGGTAAACTTGGGAGTCCAACATGAAGCATGGAAGTCATTTTAGGAATTTTAGGTCAAAACATCCTAGGGCAAATACAAACCCTAATTTGAGTCCACAGTGCAAGGAGAAGCCTTGAGCAAAGGAAACCCCAACTGCATCTTGATCTTCAAAGGTCTTGTGATGAGAAAATGTTGAGGAAATGGGAGGGCAAATTTTGGGGTACAACACTAGGTTAGAGTATTTTTTCTACTTCTATAAATACTGCTTCCTCCCTTACTGCAATCTTCACCCCTTACAATTACAAACAATAATATCATGAAAAGCCTATCTTTTTTCCTTGTTCTTGCTGCCATTTCAACCGGCCTCCTTCTTTCCCCAACAACCACTGCTGACATGCCTCCACCCTCCACCATGTGTTTCAACAACTGTCCTTGCCACAATCCACCATGTGGTGATGGTGTTCCCCCCGGTTTCCCATCTGTCGCCACTGCCACCGCCACCTCCACCGCCAAGATTCCAGCTGCTGCAGAAGATGATAATAATTAGGCTAGTATTATCATCTTCATAACAATATATATTAAATAAGGTGGTGATGTTATGTATTATGCGAAGAAATATATGAATAAAAGTTCTTGGTGCTTGTTGTCTTTTTTTTCTTTCTACTTTATTCTTTATTAACTACAATTATAGTTAATCTTTGATATGTTGCGCAAAGTGAGTATACTACAGTAATAGTTAATCTTTGATATGTGGATAATGATCAATGAACAATATAAAAAACGGTACTGAAAATCTTTAGACCAAGCAAAGAGTTTGAGGAAACTCTAGCTTTTATACATATCATTTCAAAGAATGTATGGGAAATATGGCATATCTAGTGATAAAGTTGAAAAAATTGTTCAAATTGATTCTATGATTATATTTTGACCTAACTTATTTATCATTCAATATTGTTCCTGCTGACACTCCTTTTAAGTTTCTTTTGCAAATTGTTAATCTCTCATGTTTTGGGTGAAAATGTAACCTCTAATACACTTATACATTGTTATTAGTAAAATTTAATTACCTCACAACCACCATCATGACAACACAACTTAAGTATCTAGCACTTGGAATATTGATCTTTCAATGCTCATATCTCCTAAAAATATTCATATTATAGACTATACACAAATAAAGATTAATGCCTTTTAATTATAATCTTTTCAAATTATATATATATATATATATATATAATATATATATATATATATATATATATATATATATATATATATATATATATATATATATATATATATATATATATATATATATATATATATATATATATATATATATATATATATATATATTGAAAGAACAAACCTATATAAATTAATAAAACTTAATGTAGCAGAGACAGTGCACTCAATCCTAAAGATGCCTACAAATTCGAAACCATAAGTAGTTTTCTAAATTCATTAATGAGAGTTTTTCAATTAATTATTCTACATATTTATATACATGTTAAAATAGTATTAAAAAGTGTTGTTTGGATAATTAATTTTAATTGAAATACAAAATTGAAAAAGTATTACAAGTATTAGATACTATTGATAAAGTAGTATATACTAAATCCTTCAAAATTTGATAATGATATTTAATGGTTATAATGTGAGAGATAGATAGTTTTTATGCAAATTTTAATTAATTTTTTATAAATAAAAATTAAAAGTAGCATTAATTTTATAGCATAGCACTAGTGTTTAACATGTAACTAGAGTGAGTGTGTGATAAGAAACACAATACAACACAAAGATCGTGTAACAGATGAGTCCAAGTTGTAACTACCTCGGGTGAAATTCAAGTTGAAGAGATGGTTGTTAATTGAAGAGTGGGAAGATGAAGAAACAAGTGTTAATGAGAATAAGATTGAAGAAAATATGCATGGATTTGAATGTTTCTCAAAAATAGGTATGGTGTACATATGGGGGACCAATGAATTTAGATTTCCAGATTGATGTAAAAATTGAAATCATAAGTTAGATTGAAATACTTTTTGAAATCCATACTGTATTTACTGAATGCCAAACTTCATTTCCCTTGCAATATTCGGATTCCAAACCTCTTTTGAATTTACATTAATGTAATTAGTTTCTAGGTGAGAGTATTTTTTCTACTTCTATAAATACTGCTTCCTCCCTTACTGCAATCTTCACCCCTTACAATTACAAACATTAATATCATGAAAAGCCTCTCTTTTTTCCTTGTTCTTGCTGCCATTTCAACCGGCCTCCTTCTTTCCCCCAACAACCACTGCTGACATGCCTCCACCCTCCACCATGTGTTTCAACAACTGTCCTTGCCATAATCCACCATGTGGTGATGGTGTTCCCCCCGGTTTCCCATCTGTCGCCACTGCCACCACCACCTCCACCCGCCAAGATTCCAGCTGCTGCAGAAGATGATAATAATTAGGCTAGTATTATCATCTTCATAACAATATATATTAAATAAGGTGGTGATGTTATGTATTATGTGAAGAAATATATGAATAAAAGTTCTTGGTGCTTGTTGTCTTTTTTTTCTTTCTACTTTATTCTTTATTAACTACAATTATAGTTAATCTTTGATATGTTGCACAAAGTGAGTATACTACAGTAATAGTTAATCTTTGATATGTGGATAATGATCAATGAACAATATAAAAAACGGTACTGAAAATCTTTAGACCAAGCAAAGAGTTTGAGGAAACTCTAGCTTTTATACATATCATTTCAAAGAATGTATGAGAAATATGGCATATCTAGTGATAAAGTTGAAAAAATTGTTCAAAGTGATTCTGTGATTATATTTTGACCTAACTTATTTATCATTCAATATTGTTCATGCTGACACTCCTTTTAAGTTTCTTTTGCAAATTGTTAATCTCTCATGTTTTGGGTGAAAATGTAACCTCTAATGCACTTATACATTGTTATTAGTAAAATTTAATTACCTCACAATCGCCATCATGACAACACTTGGAATATTGATCTTTCAATGCTCATATCTCCTAAAAATATTCATATTGTAGACTATACACAAATAAAGATTAATGCCTTTTAATTATAAATTTTTCAAATTATATATATATATATATATATATATATATATATATATATATATATATATATATATATATATATATATATATATATATATATATATATATATTGAAAGAACAAACCTATATAACTTAATAAAACTTATAGTTGTTACCTATGATATAATTAAATGAGAAATGGAAGAACAAAAATTAAGTGTCCGGCTTACATTGGTGTTTGATAGATGATAAACATGACGCTGATTGTCTTTTTAATTTTTTATATATTTTATTTTAGTTGTTGAATATTGTAGTAGTTGGAAACATTTTAAGCAAAAACTGAACATCCTTACACATTGTATGAGTTGGAAAAGAAAGATTTGAAATTAAAAAAAAATTAAATGATAAAACGATTTTAAACTTTTATATATAAACAGAATGCTTTATGCATT